CGAAAGAAATTCAACCAAATGTCGGTCATACCTGCAACACACCCACGGAAAACCGTGGCATTACGTAAGCTATATTTAGTTCGCCATCATATTTATTGAAAATGTGACATAGCATTGATAAGTCATTGTGAGTATGGTTTTACGCTGCTTTTAGCAATAATATATTATCAGGACGGGGGCAACAGAAACGTGTTTTACTCGTTTTTTCCATGTTCGCAATGAAATCCAACATGATACACGACTGCTATAGCGGCTGGGCTACCCAAAATATACATGATTGATTACGACTGGCAGTCAGGATCAAAGTAACGGGTGGTATTTGATACCCGAAATATACATGATTGATCACGACTGGCAGTCAGGATCAGAGTAACGGGTGGTATTTGATACCCAAAATATACATGATTGATTACGACTGGCTGTCAGGATCAAAGTAACGGGTGGTATTTGATACCCGAAATATACATGATTGATCACGACTGGCAGTCAAAATCAGAGTAACGGGTGATATTTGATACCCGAAATATTCCTGATTGATCACGACTGGCAGTCATACCCGAAATATACTTTTTGTAGTTACAGTGGCACTGAATATAACACTACCTTTAAACTTCCGGGTGTCTCTAGAATATGATGGTCGCAACCGGAACTCATCAAATCTGTATTTAGGAAAGTATTTCACCAATTCCTACTTGAAGGTACCATGCAAGTATAAACATTTCTTGAATGTCATATCTTGAGTCACAAGATTACCTTTCTTTTCGCTACTTTTCTGTAAATCCTAAACGTACATTGCTTCAAAGTAACAATGCTAGTTGCTAAGAGTGATTCCGTACTAAACATTGAAAACATTTACATTAAGTAATTATATTGCCGGACGATCAGGCGACCAGGTGGTTAAAATATGGACAAGTTACTACTTCCACCACAAGCAGTACACAGTTAGGTGCATGGGTCATGCTAAAAATGCGGCGTGGGTTGATGTAACATTGTTTAGTAGCTGTTGAATGTTAATGTTTGTATTTCTGCAATATTATTATATTACAGCAGCTGTTGTTGGACTCAAGTTGGACAGCAAGACCATGGTGTGTTCTAGTGGAGACCGGAGTAAGGGTGGCCCAGGGGTTTAAAGCACTACACGTCACTGATGTTGGGTGTGTTCCATGTCTGCCGGTGTCCGATGATCGCAGGTACAAGTACCAGATTCGCCCTGATTATGTTCCATGGTTTTGTCAGCGCCTTACACGTGCTTGTTGGTTTGACAAAACGATAAACGTCAAGGACACGTGTCAGTTTAGCCTTTCCTCCCACATTAAGCTGAAGAACTGAACCAGACCAGATACAATGAACAGCATTCACGCCGTCGGTTTTCCAAGATACGCAGTCTACCAAGTCATGGAGCCTGACCCCCCGATCTATTGAGTCTTCTCGTACGGCAGGCATAGTTGTTGGGAATCACTTCTAACCTTCCCCACCACAGAGAATAAAGAGCAAACACACCAGGTGTTAACGAATACCTTGTTTATTGATAAATAATTAATCAATTTTACATGTTTGGCAATTTATGATGAATTATTGCCATTGTAGTATTTCCAGAATTCCCATCGACACATTCACATTTCCATCGGGAAGATTCGGCTCAGGAGTCGGCATTGAAGCAGCTGTTGGCTGAGACCTGTCAGATACAATGTGAACACGATACGTTAAAATAAATCCTGTACATTTTTGTCACGAAAATTATTTGTGTTTTTAGTACAATGTGAAATACACATATAGAAAGCGAAGGCGATGAGATAACGACATGATGGTAGCTGTGTCTATACGCTTTTCAATTGCTTTCTCTCCTGGAAGTCACGTGATGTGACCTAGTAACAGGTGGCTAAGCCCTTCATCGAAATGTCATGGATGGATAGTTGCAAGTTCTCGATATATAAAAATAATGAAGTGGTGGGGAAGGACTTTTTTCTAGATGAATATATCACGCCCATCGATGTTAGATGGGAGCTGTACTGTTTTTCCATGCAGTACCCCTGTACAAATGTAACTGCTAAATTTAGAGGTCGTCAACGAGCGCACAATCCAAGCTCGGCTTAATCTTAAAACGAGGTTTTCAGTATCGTGCTAATTGTAGCGCCATTGTATACTAAACACAGGTTGTTAGTTTTGCTGTGTTAGGCGCCATGTGCAGAAGAAATTCTATTGTCATGTGTTACTTTAGCATTTCCTGTCTTTGAGAATCGTTCTATTGCTTCCATATACAACCCCTATGATTACCTGAATTGCCAAACATTCCTCCCATCCCGCCAGCGCCACCTGCACCACCTGCTCCACCTGCGCCACCAAACGGGCTACCCATACCACCCAAACCTCCACTCAAGGCCAGCAGTGCTCCAAGTCCTGTAACAGATGGGAGAAGTTCATGCAGTGAGTGAGTGGTATGGTTTAACGTTGTTTGGAAATTCAGATAGTTTTAGACGTTTTAGTCCTTGATTAAATCCACAACACTGGTATTGTGACGATAGACCAGGGATCATAATGGGAGATTTGAACCCGGAACTGGCCGTTGAAGGACCTGATACCACTCTGCCACCACAATGTCCTAGGTTAAACAGGAACTACTTGACATAATTGACAGAAACAGCCATACAGAAACACCAGCCAGTATCACATGGTTAATTACGTCATCGTGAACATGAGTGAGTGAGTTAAATTAAAAGTCGTATCGGCAGTATTTCAGCCATATCAACATCAATGTACAGTGAGTTCGTGTGATCAAATGCCACTTACAGCTATCTTAAACCTTTATTTGTTTGTTGTTTCACGCCGCACTCAGCAATATTCCAGCTATATGATGGCGGTCTGTAAATAATCGAGTCTGGACCAGACAATCCAGTGGATGATATCATGAGCATCTATCCACGCAATTGGGATCGATGACATGCATCAACCAAGTCAGCGAGCCTGACCACCCGATCTCGTTCGTCGCCTTTTACGACAAGCAAAGTCACCTTTTACGGCAAGCATGGGTTGCTGAAGACCTATTCTACCCCGGAATCTTCACGGGTCATTTGTCGCTGTAATGCTTTGGTGTCATGACAAAATGGACAACATCATAATGGTTCTGTGATAACCCATCTGACAGAAGAATGTGGACAAAGGCAACTAAAATCGAAGTTCTTCTTACAAATATTGTTCAACCATATTTATTAGTGTGGTACCCATTGTGGCAAACCGAATGAAGCGTTTTCTTATAAAAAATGGGATTCAGAAAATAGATACGCATCAAGAAAAAATATTCATACGCTCTGAAAAGTTCGAAAGATTTATAAGATCCAACAGTTCTTCCCCAATCAGAATGCAGTACACATTCCCATGCATTTTACACCTCTTAATAATACAACTTAAATGCTTATATATATTTACCTTGAGCTGATGCTGTTGCGGCAAAGACGGCGACAAGGACAACAATCAAAACTGAAGAATTCATGGTTGAAGCAAGAAAGTTGCGAGCAGAACCGTTCTGTGTGAGAGTCAGGGTGGTTAATGGAAAGAAGCAGCCTTCCTTTATATTTATAGAGATTCCGCCTCAACATCCAGTCCTTTGTACCTTTTGATGCAAATGACATTAAGGGTGTATGTCAAGGTCATGATGACAAGGTGCTTAGTGATAATCTCTTCATGATGGCAAATATTTATGAGACAAAAAATAGGTTGTTTTAATGGCGTGTGTATGTGTGAAGAGTTCATCCTTCCGAGGCGTCAGACGCTGTCCTCAGCCGACACCCTCACTGAGGACAAATGTGTATCCCACAAGTCTATGATGCCTGTGGTTGGATCCACATGAGAAACACGGACCGTTGCCATAAGTTTACCAAATACTTCATACTCTGTGTAAATACTATTTAGATCATGTCAAATCAACCCTCATAATAATACTTTATTTCAAGGTATATCTTTTAAATGCAATCAGGGAACAATATCGATAGTGTAATCGCTGCAAACAACACTTGTATTTCACAGTAGATATTTGATATCTTACACGAAAATTGTTTGGGTGGAGTTTATTTGTTTCGATTTTAACTTATTGCTTAACACATCGTTACAGCTATTTTACATCGCATTGTACCCTGTAATAATGTGTATAGAATGTTAACGCATACAAGACATGTGTAGGTCCTAAACGGAAAACACATTTAGTGTGTTCTATCTAACACATTTAGGGTCTAAACACATGAAATGAGCTATCGTCTCACAGCCTAAACACCACCTCAACACAACATCCCCATAATCTAAACATGTTTAGAATTTAAACATGTATGTTACAAAACACAATTGCGATTCCCGCATCAAATACATCATTTAATTCATAGCCACCAGCAGACATAAGTGTAAACTTTCTTTTGACGTTCAGTTTATGTCAGTACTGACGGCTTTTAATAATTTACTTTATAAATATAACTTATCCTATTATGATCAAACCAAATAAGACCACTACATCCACAGAGTGTCTGGTCCAGATTCGATTATTTACAGGCCGTTGTCATGTGGCTGGATTTCTGCCGAGTGTGGCGTCAGACATCACGCAAACAAACAAATCTAATCTCATTGATTATATTGATAAACATAATAATATTACTTGAATATTGTAAAGACTGTAAAGAATTGACCTATTGTGGGTGTAACACCAACAATGATTTGGCTTGAATAATATCATCTCACTCACTCATTCACTCACTGACCAGCCCGTCACGCAACACTGAACACAGTGAGAATAAACAATGTCACACGCACAGGTCAACCACTGTGACATTGGCGTGGCAAATGACCTCGGAGACGATGAACTTACCACGATCTCTTTTAACCCGACCCGAACTTACTTTTAATGTCCAAGGTGACATATACCCAAAGTCTACTCTATGTTAGCGGTTAAAAAAGGCCATAAACGTCAATTTAACGTCGCGTGCCTATGGGATTGTTTTTAACGCTGTACCATTTTTGCTTCGTGGGGTTTGGTATAAAAGCATGCCACTATGCCTTGCCAAGTATTCTCGTCCAATACATCTCAGCTGTTCAGTGCTTTAGCATCCGACACCATGGTCGTCATTATAGCTGCTTGTGTCATCTTCGCCATCACTGGTTCAGCCTCTGCTGCAAGTAAGTGTTTCAAGCATCGGGTGCTGTAAACCGTTAAAGACTCATTATGTAGATAGGTTACTGTCATACAATCCTATACTTTGCAATTTGTTTAATGTTAATTTCAATCACTGGATTTCCTAGACCAGAAAGATACTGTCATACAATGAATACATTACTTTTTAAATATGGAATAGAACCTGAAGACTTGTTGTAACTTATATGGATATAATAATTTAATTTTAGAAACTCCTGCTTCTGTATTTTGCTATATGTATATAAGTTACTGTCATACAATGATATACTTTGCAACTTGTTTAGTTTGAACTCCAATTAGTGGGAACTTAATTATGCTTCTGTATTTTGCAATATAATGGAACTTTTGTACAATGAGTAACTACATGGACAAACACCATTAGGGGTCAGATTTGAAAAACGTCAACACAATTTCTCAGATTCGTTCATTTTCCTAACTTTTATACTTCCTTGTTCCGTGGGGATCCCAAGTAACAACAAAGATTCCCCGAGACCTGTCCACTTGTTTGACAGCTTGTCATCCTACTCAAATAGCGTGGATCGATCCTCGTGATGTCAATCACTGGATTGTCTGGTGCAGACTCGGCATTAAATAGTGGCTATATATAACTGTACATGTGAATTACAACTGTGTTTCTTTATCTCGATATTTGAAAGAAACAAGTCCTTGTCGACAAAACAGGAAATATACATCAGGTTATGTTGGTGTCAACAGTATCAGAAATGATCAGTAAGTACTTCCGTGTCGCTGCATGATGTTGCCATCCTCAGCTCCCACCAACTGCACCATCTCTGGATGTGGGTTCGGAGGCAAATGTATCGACAATGCTGCTGGGACGGCGTCCACCTGCGTCTGCTACCAAGGATTCGAACTCAGCTTCCAGACATTCGAATGCATAGGTGAGTAACAATGATCCTAATATTCAGAAAGTTTCCAACTCCAGTTGTGTAAGAGGTTACTCGGGTCGTCATACCAGGTGACCTTGGAGCGTGTCATTGTACCCAAACTGCTGAAAGACACCTTTCTGCGTTGTCTAAACTCCAGTTTTTATTTTTTGCCGTGAATTAATTGGAATATTGCTAACTGGGGCGTAAATATGAAATGTCAGGGAAAGAGAATTATCAGAGTAGAACATGTTTATCCTTTTCGAGAACACCTGGTGTCATCACTCATTTTCAGTGATCCATTTGTATAATTTTAACCACTATTTTGTATTTTACAACCAATCGATTCTGTGTCTGCAGATACTCGATATTGAATATTCTCTTGTGTGGAAGCAGTAGTACCAGTGTGTCAGTGCATGTTTCTCTTCCAGACATCAACGAGTGTAACTACACCAGCGCCGCCCTGTGCAGAAACGGCTACTGCTACAACATGTACGGCGACTACAAGTGCAACTGCTACCCGGGCTTCGTGCCGCACTACCCCGACGGAAAGACCTGCGTGCGACGTAAGTGACTGGCGGTAAACATGGTTAATCCCGACTCAAGGAAATTCGAAATCCAGACATTCTACCGGGGTTCCACTGTAAGGATATATTGGTGGGGTGGGGTAGTGGCTGACAGAAAATACTAAGCGACCCGATCTCTTTTCCTCAGATGATTCTAACGGACAAAGAAGAAAGAGAGTGTTTTATTTGGGGCAGGAGTCGTACATACACATTTAATTTCATTTTACAAGCAGCAGTTGGGCAGCCTAGTTGTTGAAGAGACGGCTCGTCACACCAAAAGACAGGTTCGATCCCCCACATCGGTGCTATGTTTTCTGCCCAAACTGAGTCCATGGCCGCGATAGTGTTGGAATATTGCTTAGAGAGGCGCCAAACCCAACATATCCACTAACAAAACACATAAACTTGCAACTCGATGACATTGTACGATTCGTATGCTAACTATGAATGTCCTACTGTTTCAGCTATATTCCCTATCATCAACAACAACAACAACAACAACAACAATAACAACAACAACATCTTTGGCAACATGCCAATCTGGCTCTTGTCTTTGCTGTTTAGAGAGATGTAAGAAGAAGAACATCTTAACAGTGTCTGGCAATGGATCAATAAAAACAAATGTATTGCAATGAATAAATGTAATGGCAAATTTAATAACGTTGTCTTTGTTTACTGTTTAGTCTTTGAAAGGCATTTAGAAGAGATGCACTAGGGAACAGAATTTATGGATGTCAACTTCCTTATTATCAGGAACACAAAGTTTCAGAGTATTTGGAGGTGAAATTGATGGACCCTGAGAAAGAGTAAGTATACACTCCGAAACGTTGTGTTCCTCATACAAAAATAAGTTGACATCCATAAATTCTCTTTCCCCTATGATTACTGTTGTTAATCCAATCTCTGGGTACATTCAGGGCATGTGTTTATTTGTTATCTTAACGCCGCACACACCAACATTCCAGCTTAACGACGGCAGTATATAAATAATCGAGGATAGACTTGACAATCCAGTGACTGATATTTTGACAGCGTCCCACGCAGGGGTACCATGCGAAGTAATCCATCGAGCCAGACCACAGATCTATACGTCTGGCGTAGGTTGCTGGGGATCTATTCTAACCCCGATCCCCACGGGAGAAGGAATACTGTTGTTAGTGACAGACAACGTTGCATGGCTACACACACGCCTCATTCTAAAAATGTTTCATTACTATTGTTGACACAAGTAATAATACCTTCTAAACAAGAGGCGATGTTGGGTCTTACCCGTTAATGCGTTTGCTGATGTGAAGTAAGTGATTTCAGTTCAACCGTCTTTTGGCAGTAAATTCAGTTATATAACGGTATGGCAGCTAAATGTGGAGGAAAGGAGTGGAAACATGAAGAAAAACTCCTCATCAGTGTTATTGCTGTTGATTGCCACATCCACTGTATACATATTTGAGAATCAAAGATATCAACACGATTTGAAAAAAGTGGAAAAACTCCGAGGCTTGCCGAGGAATTTTTCCACGTTTATCAACGAGTGTTGATATATTTGATATCAAAAGACACGAGGGTGAGATTTTATTTATCATCAAACATCATTCTTCCAACCTTTTCAGTTTGTAGACGGTAATAAGCAGTGTCTCAGTGTAAAAAATACTGCTAACAGCTTCAGTAGCAGAGTAATTAGTGATGTTGTTTGATTGTGACCTCATAGTAACAATGACGTCACAATGGTCTGCAAAGCATTGTGACGCAATTTCATTGCAGCGATATCTACAATGTAGATATCGCTTGATCTCACCCAAGCGATATCTCATGTGTGAGCCAGTTTTGGATGATTAACCTAGTTAACTCGAACTTCTTTTAGCTCGATACATACTCTCTCAAAAAAGAAACGCATATAAGAATTTTAACTACAGATTTCTTTTTATTTTGATACACTGTGGACAAGTTAATACAAATGGAATTCGAAGAAATTTTACACAGGAAATGTCAAGGTATCACTGTTTAATAAGACATCGGAAAAAGTCGGTTTATGAATCACACCTCGACGTTTGATGGCGCTGAAGTCAGTACCTTGTATGACCACCATTGGCGTTCAGAGCTGCGCGACATCGTCTCGGCATAGAACGAATTAGTCTCTGAATCTGATGTTGCCGCAATGTAGCCCACTCTGCCTGTAGTGCATGTGCTAGTTGCTGAAGTGTCTGGGGCTGTGGGTTACGCTGTCGCACCCGTCTGTCCAGGGCATCCCAAAGATGTTCTAATGGGTTTAAGTCTGGTGATCTGGAGGGCCAGGGCAGCACATTGATGTTCTCATTCCGGAGAAAGGCCCTCGTGACACGTGCCGTATGAGGTCTGGCGTTATCCTGCTGGAATAGCTCCCTCTGGCGGTTGATAATGGGAAGGAGGTGTGGACGAAGGACTTGATCGCAGTAGCGTTGCGCTGTCAGGTTGCCTTGGATCAACACCCACTCACTTCTTCCAGTGTAGGATATGGCTCCCCACATCATCACGCTGCCCCTGCCGAATCTGTCCACCTGGGGGACACAGGCGTCGGCAAAACGTTCATGACGTCGTCTGTACACCCGCATTCTTCCATCACGTCGTTCAAACAGAAATCTCGATTCATCGCTGAACCAGATTCGACGCCAATTCACCAAATTCCAGGCCTGAACGTTTGTACACCATTGAACGCGATGGCGTCGATGCTGCTGACGCATAACGGGGCCAAAGTAGGGTCTACTTGCTCTTAAACCTGCCTCTCGTAGTCTGTTCCTGACAGTCTGTGCAGATATCCTTCTCAATCCGGGTATTTGCCTAGCGGTAGTCGTCGCTGTAGCTGTTCGCTGACACAGGTGATGTACCCGGATGTACCTATCTTGCGCTGCAGTGTTAATTCGAGGACGTCCACTTCTAGGTCCATCATCCACCGAGTTCTGCTGCCGATATTTCTCCCAGAGACGAGAAATCGTGCTTTGAACATTCATTCGACGGGCAACTGTAAGTTGAGATTGTCCTGCTTCCAGGAGACCTATGGCGATGTGACGATTGGCGTGGCTCAGTCTTGGCATTTTGCACTCTTCACAAACTTCCAAATAAAGTGAATGAAAAAAGACGGATATCGATCTTTTATACCCATCCACGACATGATGTGATCCCGCATTTAATGTCGAAGAATAATCAATCGATTTATTGATTGATTGTTCTGTGACATTAAATGCGTCTATCGAAAATCATGCTTTAACATACGGGTTTTTCATGCGGGATGCGTTTGGATATGCCGTTTTAAGACAAAAACACCAGAGAAATAATCAACAAAACAAATATTTTTGAAAAACCCACCCTGTACCAATACATTGCTGCATCAAATTACCAATTTCGTTATGCGTTTCTTTTTTGAGACAGTATATCTTTAAGATGATTTAATCTCGTGGCTACGACATTAAACCACGGCTTTATTGATTATAAGAACACTGAGGGACGCAATACATTCAAAAAAAGAAACGCACAGGTAGATATTCAGTAAATTTATTGTACCTAATATAGTCGATATATTTTATTTAATATCATAGATACAAATATTAAATTTGGGAGCTCGATAGTCACATGTTGTCGTTGTACAAAGGCATTGAAAACTCTTCATTGTCATGTCACATAAGGCCACAAGGTTGCGCTAAACTCGTGTGACCGCCCCGGGCAGAATTCACGGCTCTGCATCTCCTCGGCACTGACTGGATAAGTGTATGACTTCTGTCCTGCGGAATTCTGCGCCATTCTGCTTGTAACGCGTTGGCCAGTTGTGGGAGTGTCTGCGGCGTTTTCTGACGTTGATGTACACGTCGATTGAGTTCATCACAGACTTGTTCAATTTGGTTGAGATCTGGGTATCTCGACGGCCAGGGCAAATCGGTGATGTCGGCATAATGTAGGTCGTCTACCGTGACACGAGCTGCGTGCGGTGGAATGTTGTCCTGTTGAAACAGCTCCCTCTGGCGGTCAATGATTGGAAGAAGGTGGGGTTGAAGAATTTGATTCATGTAGCGATTTGCTGTCAAATTTCCCTGAACCACAACCATGTCAGATCTCGAGGTGTAGGATATGCCCCCCCCCCCACCCCCCATGACACTACCGCCACCGGTATTGCCGAAATCACGTTCCGATGTTGGGCAAAACGCTCATTTCGACGACGATACACACGTTGTCTTCCATCTTGCCGGTGAAGAAGAAATCGTGATTCATCGCTAAACCAAACTCGTGTCTAGTTTCTCAATTTCCAAGGCTATAAGGTATGACACCAACGCAAGCGTCGCTGTCGATGGATCTGTTGCAAAAGAGGGAAGATAACTGGTCTTCTGGGTTTGGATTCCAGCCTAGCGAAGATGGTTCCTGACATTCTGGTCTGATATCCTCCTCAAACCAGGGATGCGTCCTGCAGTCTCCGTAGCTTTGGCTTTGCGATGACGCAGGTGGAACAGACGAATGTAGCGATCCTGTGCAGGGGTTGTAACTCTTGGTCGGCCGGTTCTCGGACGGTCTGCAGTGGAATTGAACTGTGTGTATTGGTCCCAAAGTCAGCAAATGGTGCTGTGGTGCACGTTGAAGTGGCGTGCAACAGAAGACTGCGATTCCCCTCTTTGGATACGTCCCATGGCGATGTTCCGATCAGCAGCGCTAAGTCTCAGCATTTGCGAACTTGAAAAATGTTGACAATTGAATGACAAATTATTGGCTTATGCTTGCATTTTTATAGCCACTACCACAAATTACGAATGCCATAACTTGCACATGCATTTTCCTTGACTGTTTTCCTCCATGACATTTTTAAACAAGTGTGAAAACAATGCCGTTTTGACCCACCGTTTGCCGAATATTAGGCCACCAACATTTTCAAGTAACGTATATCCAATTTATACACCGGATTTTTTGTGTAGTCAGGTTCAATGAACTACACAGTACCTGTGCGTTTTTTTTAAATACTGTATTAGATGGTGGCTTAAAATTAAAAACAAACAAGAAATTGTTTTTTTCACGCTGACGTATTTGATACGGATATCTTCGCTGTGTTTTGGACTTTTAGTTTGCAAAGTTTCGGCGACTGTTTTGAGCCTTGTAACATTTTGATAACGTTTGTCAAATCCAACTGGATACTTTCTTTTGCAGAATGATGATGGTATCAAGTTGTCCCCAAGCCATATTCGATAATTATTTCATATAAATTACACAAAACTGTCTTTTATTTCACACTTTAGGCACAGCTTGTAATGAAGAACTGGAAGCTGGTTGGTTGGAGTCGATTACAGCATTTATTATATCGGACTTATCCTTTGTTTAATGTGTCTAAGAAGATGAAGTTGCGTGAGTTTATATTGTTGTTTTATGTCGCTTTAGTATCGGTTCAACGGTTAGCGGATAGTGTGAGAAGTTATGTATATTTACACCTAACGCTGCCTTTTACATGTAAAGCTAGTTGTTTTACGCAAAAAGCCAAATTCATTACGCGTCCCCATCCCCATCTTCTATTTGCAGGTCTCTGTAAAGCCGCTGCTGCAGCCGAGGCTTCTCCAGCCACAGTCTCACGTTCTATGCGGTACAGTGATTTTAAACCCATAATCAAAATATATATACGACATTTTATGCAAAAACGGTGGGACCCTCAGATCGATGTCACTACAACGAAGGAAATTCAACCAAATGTCGGTCATACCTGCAACACACCCACGGCAAACCGTGGCATTACGTAAGCTTTATTAACGGTTAAACAATCAGTGTGTGTTGTTCGCATAAATATGTGAATATCACGCTTAACCACATTGTGAATATTAAAAAGTTCGCCATCATATTTATTGATAATGTGACATAGCGTTGATAACTCATTGTGAGTATGGTTTTACGCTGCTATTAGCAATAATGTAATATCAGGGCGGGGGGCACAGAAACGTGTTTTTCTAATTTTCTCCATGTTCGCAATGAAATCCAACATAATACACGATTGCTATAACGGCTGGGCTATCCAAAATATACCTGATTGATTACGACTGGCAGTCAGGATCAAAGTAACGGGTGGTATTTGATACCCGAAATATTCCTGATTGATCACGACTGGCAGTCAGGATCAAAGTAACGGGTGGTATTTGATACCCGAAATATATCTGATTGATCACGACTGGCAGCCAGGATCAGAGTAACGAGTGATATTTGATACCCAAAATATACAAGATTGATTCTGACCGGCAGTCAGGATAAGAGTTGCCGTGATATTTGATACCCGAAATATACAAGATTGATTCTGACCGGCAGTCAGGATAAGAGTTGCCGTGATGTTTGATACCCGAAATATACAAGACTGATTCTGACCGGCAGTCAGGATAAGAGTAGCCGTGATATTTGATACCGGAAATGTAGAAGATTGAATACGACTGGCAGTCAGGATAAGAGTAGCCGTGATATTTGATACCCTGAAATATACAAGATTGATTCCGACTGGAAGTCAGGATCAGAGTAACGGGTGGTATTTGATACCCGAAATATATGATTGATTACGACTGGCAGTGAGGATAAGAGTAACGGGTATATTTGATACCCGAAATATACAAGATTCATTCTGACTGGGAGTCAGGATAAGAGTAACCGTGATATTTGATACCCGAAATATACAAGATTGATTCCGACTGGCAGTCAGGATAAGAGTAGCCGTGATATTTGATACCCGAAATATACAGGATTGTTTAAGACTGGCAGTAAGGATAAGAGTACCCGTGATATTTGATACCCCGAAATATACAAGATTGATTCCGACTGGAAGTCAGGATAAGAGTAACGGGTGGTATTTGATACCCGAAATATACCTGATTGATCACGACTGGCAGTCAGGATCAGAATAACGGTCGGTATTTGATACCCGAAATATATGATTGATTACGACTGGCAGTCAGGATAAGAGTAACGTATATATTCGATACCCGAAATATACAAGATTCATTCTGACTGGGAGTCAGGATAAGAGTAGCCGTGATATTTCATACCCGAAATATACAGGATTGTTTACGACTGGCAGTCAGGATTAGAGTAACGAGTGATATTTGATACCCGAAATATACTTCCTTCCTATATTGACTTCGGGTGTCTCTAGTATATGATGGGCGCAACTTAACCGGAACTGTTCAAATCTGTATGTAGGAAAGTATTTCACTAATGCCTACTTGAAGGTACCATGCAAGTTTAAACATTTCTTGAATGTCATATCTTGAGTCACAAGATTACCTTTCTTTTCGCTACTTTTCTGTAAATCCTACACGTACATTGCTTCAAAGTAACAATGCTAGTTGCTAAGAGTGATTCCGTACTAAACACGGAAAACATTTACATTAAAAAATGATATTACCGGACGATCAGGCGACCAGGTGGTTAAAAATATGGCCAAGTTACTACTTTCGCCACAATCAGTACACAGTTAGGTGCATGGGTCATGCTAAAAATGCAGTGTGTGTTTATGTAACATTGTTTAATAACTGTTGAATGTTGATATTTGTGTGTCTGCAATATTATTTTATTATATTATGTCGGACATGGGTAGGACCGGTGACCACTTGTTGGACTCAAGTTGGACAGCAACACCATGGTGTGTTCTGGTAGAGACCGGAGCAAGGGTGGCTCTGATTAGCATCCCTTCTTCAGTGTATAGTAACTATTGAATGTTAATGTTTTGTATTTCGGCAATATCATTCATTGTATTTTTTCTGACATGGGTCAGCCGTCTGATCACTTGTTGGACAGCAAGACCATGGTGTGTTCTAGTGGAGACCGGAGCAAGGGTGGCCCAGGGGTTTAAAGCACTACACGTCACTGATGTTGAGTGTGTTCCATGTCTGCCGGTGTCCGATGATCGCAGGTACAAGTACCAGATTTGCCCTGATTATGTTTAATGGTTTTGTCAGCACCTTACACGTGCTTGTTGGTTTGACACAACGATAAACGTCAAAGTCGTGTGTCAGTTTTGCCTTTCCTCCCACATTAAGCTGAAGAACTGAACCAGACCAGATACAATGAACAATATTCACTCCGTCGGTTTTCCAAGATACGCAGTCTACCACGCCATGGAGCCTGACGCCCCGATCTATTGAGTCTTCTCGTACGGCAGGCATAGTTGTTGGGAATCACTTCTAACCTGTACTCCCCATAAAAGGGAATAAAGAGCAAACACACTAGTTGTTATCGAATACCTTGTTTATTGATAAATGATTTATCAATTTTAAATGTTTGGCAATTTATGATGAATTATTGCCATTGTAGTATTTCCAGAATTCCCACGGACACCTTCACATTTCCATCGGGAAGATTCGGCTCAGGAGTCGGCATTGAAGCAGCTGTTGGCTGAGACCTGTCAGATGCGAAGTGAACACGATACGTTAAAACAAATCCTGTACATTTTTGTCACGAAAATTATTTGGTTTTTTTAGTACAATGTGAAATACACATACAGAAAGCGAAGGCGACGAGCTTACGACATGGTGGTAGCTGTGTTGATACTCTTTTCAATTGCTTTCTCTCCTGGAAGTCACGTGATGTCGCAGCAGGTACCTTAGCCATTTCTCGAAATAAAGTTAATGTCCTTGATGGATAGTTGCAAGTTCTCGATATATAAAAATAATGAAGTGGTGGGGAAGTACTTTTTCTAGATGAATATATCACGCCCATCGATGTTAGATGGGAGCTGTACTGTTCTTCCATGCAGTACTCCTGTAAATGTAACTGCTAAATTCAGAGGTAGTCAACGAGCGCACAAACCCAGCTCGGTTTAATTCTAAAACGAGGTTTTCAGTATCGTGATAATTTTAGCGCCATTGTATACTAAACACTGGTTATTAGTTTTGCTGTGTTAGGCGCCATGTGCAGAAGCCATTCTAATGTCATGTGTTACTTCAGCTCTTCCTGTCTTTGAGAATCGTTCTATAGCTTCCATATACAACCCCTATGATTACCTGAATTGCCAAACATTCCTCCCATCCCGCCAGCGCCACCTGCACCACCTGCTCCACCTGCGCCACCAAACGGGCTACCCATACCACCCAAACCTCCACTCAGGGCCAGCAGTGCTCCAAGTCCTGTAACAGATGGGAGAAGTTCATGCAGTGAGTGAGTGGTATGGTTTAACGTTGTTTTGAAATTCAGATAAATCACAGCAGGATGAGTGTGAGGAAAACTCAATGTGATGTCAGCTGGAGACGTTATGGTCCTTGATTAAATCCATAACACTGGTATTGTGACGATAGACCAGGGATCATAATGGGAGATTTGAACCCGGAACTTGCCGTTGAAGGACCTGATACCCCTCTACCACCACAATGTCCTAGGTTAAACAGGAACTACTTGACATAATTGACAGAAACAGCCAAACAGAAACACCAGCCAGGACCACATGGTTAATTACGTCATCGTGAACATGAGTGAGTGAGTTAAATTTAAAGTCGTATCGGCAGTATTTCAGCCATATCAACATCGATGTACAGTGAGTTCGTGTGATCAAATGCCACTTACAGCTATCTTAAACCTTTGTTTGTTTGTTGTTTCACGCCGTAATGAGCAATATTCCAGCTATAAGACGGCGGTCTTTAAATAATCGAGTCTGGACCAGACAATCAAGTGATTGACATCATGAGCATCGATCCACGCAATTGGGATATGATGACATGCATCAACCAAGTCTGCGAGCTTGACCACCCGATCCCGTTAGTCACCTCTTACAACTAGCTTTGATTGCTGAAGACCTATTCTACCCCGGATCTTCACCTTTACAAGTCAAATTAGGACATAATCATTATGTGTTTTCATATTTGCGGGTGTTATTCAGTATTCGATGGGGGGACGGGTGGTCCAGTCGTCTAAGGCGCCGCGATTTGCTCTCCAGATTTGCGTCCCTTGGGCACGCCAGAAACCTATGATTGTGGGTTCGAAATCCCGGTTCGCCCCGATTATGTTTCTAGGTTTGTCAGCACTATACCCGTGCTCGTCGGTTTCACCGAAGTGGTAAACGTCTGAGACCTGCATCACTTCGGGCTTTCCTCCCACATTAACCTCACACGCCGTGATATGATGGAATACTGTTAAAAGCGGCGTTAACCCCAACTCACTCACTCAGTATTCGATGCATTTAACACTAAATAATTATGGACATTGAAAAGTAAGACAGTCATACGTAATAATCCCCAGGACCCGATATGAGATCTCGCGGCGGTGACGCAGATATGATATGACGAAATTGGTTGGTTGGTTGGTTGGTTGTTGTTTAACGCCGCAGTCAGCAATATTCCAGCTATATGATGGCGGTCTGTAAATAATCGAGTCTGGACCAGACAATCCAGTGATTGATATCATGAGCATCTATCCACGCAATTGGGATCGATGACATGCATCAACCAAGTCAGCGAGCCTGACCACCCGATCCCGTTCGTCGCCTTTTACGACAAGCATAGTCACCTTTTACGACAAGCATGGGTTGCTGAAGACCTATTCTACCCCGGAATCTTCACGGGTCATTTGTCGCTGTAATGCTTTGGTGTCATGATAAAATGGATAACGTCATAATGGTTCTCTGATAACCCGTCTGACAGAAGAATGTGGACAAAGGCAACTTAAATCGAGGTTCTACCTACAAATACTGTTCCATCATATTTATCAGTGTGGTACCCATTGTGGCAAACCGAATGCTGCGTTTTCTTTCAAAAATGGGATTCAGAAAATAGATACGCATCAAGAAAAAATATTCATACGCTCTGAAAAGTTCGAAAGATTCATAAGATCCAACAGTTCTTCCCCAATCAGAATGCAGTACACATTCCCATGCATTTACACCTATTAATAATACAACATAAATGCTAATATGTATTTACCTTGAGCTGACGCTGTTGCAGCAAAGACGGCGACAAAGACAACAATCAAAACTGAAGAATTCATGGTTGAAGCAAGAGGGTTGCGAGCAGAACCGTTCTGTGTGAGAGTCAGGATGGTTAATGGAAAGAAGCAGCCTTCCTTTATATGTATAGAGATTCCGCCTCAACATCAGGTTCTTTGTAGCTTTTGATGCAAATGCCATTCAGTGTGTATGTCAAGGCCACAATGACAAGGTGTCTGGTGATAATCTCTTTATGATGGCACATATTTATGAGACAAAAAAGGTTGTTTTAATGGCGTGTGTATGTGTGAAGAGTTCATCTATCCGAGGCGTCAGACGCTGTCCTCAGCCGACCCCCTCATTGAGGACAAATGTGTATCCCACAAGTCTATGATGCCTGCGGTAGGACCCACATGAGAAACACGGACCGTTGCCATAAGTTTACCAAATCCTTCATACTCTGTGTAAATAAAACCTATTTAGATCATGTCAAATCAACCCTCATAATAATACTTTATTTCAAGGTATATCTTTTAAATGCAGTCAGGGAACAATATCGTTAGTGTAATCGCTGCAAACAATACTTGTATTTCACATTAGATATTTGATATCTTACACGAAAATTGTTTGGGTGGAGTTTATTTGTTTCGATTTTAACTTATTGCTTAACACATCGTTACAGCTATTTTACATCGCGTTGTACCCTGTAATAATGTGTATAGAATGTTAACGTATACAAGACATGTTTAGGTCCTAAACGGAAAAAACATTTAGTGTGTTCTATCTAATACATTTAGGGTTTAAACACATGAAATGAGCTATCGTTTCACAGCCTAAACACCACCTAAACACACCCTAAACATGTTTAAAATTTATACATTTATGGTCCAAAACACAATTGAGATTCCCGCATCAAAAGCAACATTTAATTTATAGCCACCAGCAGACATAAGTGTAAACTTTCTTTTGACGTTCAGTTTATGTCAGTATTGACGGCTTATTATAATTTACTTTACAAATATAACTTATCCTATTATGATCAAACCAAATAAGACCACTACATGCACGGAGTGTCTGGTCCAGATTTGATTGTTTACAGGCCGTTGTCATGGAGCTGGATTTCTGCTGAGTTTGGCGTCAGACATCAAGCAAACAAACAAATCTAATCTCATTGATTATATTGATAAACATAATGATAATACTTGAATATTGTGAAGACTGCGCACAACCACATTTCCACAAAGTCAGCTACTCATTTCGTGGAGGATCAATTGGGGCACTTAATCAACCTTTGAAAAATAAACTAGCGGAATAGACCTATTGTGGTTGTAACACCAACAATGATTTGGCTTGAATAATATAATCTCAGTCACTCAGTCACTCAGTCACTCACTCACCAGCCCGTCACGCAACACTGAACACAGTGAAAATAAACACTGTCACGCGCACAGGTCAACCACTGTGACATTGGCGTGGCAAATGACCTCGGAGACGATGAACTTACCACGATCTCTTTTGACCCGACCCGAACTTATTTTTTATGTCCAAGGTGACATATACCCAAAGTCCCCTATGTTAGCGATTAAAAAAGTCCATAAACGTCATTTAAACGTCGCGAGCCTTTGGGATTGTTTTTAACGCTGTTCCATTTTTGCATCGTGGTGTTTGGTATAAAAGCATGCCACTATGCCTTGCCAAGTATTCTCGTCCTAAACACCTCAGCTGTTCCGTTCTCCAACTTCCGACACCATGGTCGTCATTGTAGCTGCCTGTGTCATCTTCGCCATCACTGGTTCTGCCTCTGCTGCAAGTAAGTGTTTCAAGCACCAGGTGTTGTAAACCGTTAAAGACTCATCATGTAGCTAAGTTACTGTCATACAATCGTATACTTTGCAATTTGTTTAATGTTAATTTCAATCACTGGAATTCCTGGTCCAGACGCGGCGTTAGAAAGATAATGTCATACAATGAATACATTACTTTTTAAATATGGAATAGAACCTGAAGATTTGTTGTAACTTATATTGATATAATAATTTAATTTTAGAAACTCCTGCTTCTGTTATTTGCTATATGTATATAAGTTACTGTTTATACAATGGTATACTTTGCAGCTTGTTTAGTTTGAACTCCAATTAGTGGGAACTTGTGTGCTTCTGTATTTTGCAATATAATGGAACTTTTGTACAATGAGTAACGACATGGACAAACACCATTAGGGGTCAGATTTGAAAAACGTCAACACAATTTCTCAGATTCGTTCATTTTCCTAACTTTTATACTTCCTTGTTCCGTGGGGATCCCAAGTAACAACAAAGATTCCCCGAGACCTGTCCACTTGTTTGACAGCTTGTCATCCTACTCAAATAGCGTGGATCGATCCACGTGATGTCAATCACTGGATTGTCTGGTGCAGACTCGGCATTAAATAGTGGCTATATATAACTGTACATGTGAATTACAACTGTGTTTCTTTATCTCGATATTTGAAAGAAACAAGTCCTTGTCGACAAAACAGGAAATATACATCAGGTTATGTTGGTGTCAACAGTATTAGAAATGATCAGTAAGTACTTCCGTGTCACTGCATGATGTTGCCATCCTCAGCTCCCACCAACTGCACCATCTCTGGATGTGGGTTCGGAGGCAAATGTATCGACAATGCTGCTGGGACGGCGTCCACCTGCGTCTGCTACCAAGGATTCGAACTCAGCTTCCAGACATTCGAATGCATAGGTGAGTAACAATGATCCTAATATTCAGAAAGTTTCCAACTCCAGTTGTGTAAGAGGTTACTCGGGTCGTCATACCAGGTGACCTTGGAGCGTGTCATTGTACCCAAACTGCTGAAAGACACCTTTCTGCGTTGTCTAAACTCCAGTTTTTATTTTTTGCCGTGAATTAATTGGAATATTGCTAACTGGGGCGTAAATATGAAATGTCAGGGAAAGAGAATTATCAGAGTAGAACATGTTTATCCTTTTCGAGAACACCTGGTGTCATCACTCATTTTCAGTGATCCATTTGTATAATTTTAACCACTATTTTGTATTTTACAACCAATCGATTCTGTGTCTGCAGATACTCGATATTGAATATTCTCTTGTGTGGAAGCAGTAGTACCAGTGTGTCAGTGCATGTTTCTCTTCCAGACATCAACGAGTGTAACTACACCAGCGCCGCCCTGTGCAGAAACGGCTACTGCTACAACATGTACGGCGACTACAAGTGCAACTGCTACCCGGGCTTCGTGCCGCACTACCCCGACGGAAAGACCTGCGTGCGACGTAAGTGACTCGCGGTAAACATGGTTAATCCCGACTCAAGGAAATTCGAAATCCAGACATTCTACCGGGGTTCCACTGTAAGGATATATTGGTGGGGTGGGGTAGTGGCTGACAGAAAATACTAAGCGACCCGATCTCTTTTCCTCAGATGATTCTAACGGACAAAGAAGAAAGAGAGTGTTTTATTTGGGGCAGGAGTCGTACATACACATTTAATTTCATTTTACAAGCAGCGGTTGGGCAGCCTAGTTGTTGAAGAGACGGCTCGTCACACCAAAAGACAGGTTCGATCCCCCACATCGGTGCTATGTTTTCTGCCCAAACTGAGTCCATGGCCGCGATAGTGTTGGAATATTGCTTAGAGAGGCGCCAAACCCAACATATCCACTAACAAAACACATAAACTTGCAACTCGATGACATTGTACGATTCGTATGCTAACTATGAATGTCCTACTGTTTCAGCTATATTCCCTATCATCAACAACAACAACATCAACAACAATAACAACAACAACATCTTTGGCAACATGCCAATCTGGCTCTTGTCTTTGCTGTTTAGAGAGATGTAAGAAGAAGAACATCTTAACAGTGTCTGGCAATGGATCAATAAAAACAAATGTATTGCAATGAATAAATGTAATGGCAAATTTAATAACGTTGTCTTTGTTTACTGTTTAGTCTTTGAAAGGCATTTAGAAGAGATGCACTAGGGAACAGAATTTATGGATGTCAACTTCCTTATTATCAGGAACACAAAGTTTCAGAGTATTTGGAGGTGAAATTGATGGACCCTGAGAAAGAGTAAGTATACACTCCGAAACGTTGTGTTCCTCATACAAAAATAAGTTGACATCCATAAATTCTCTTTCCCCTATGATTACTGTTGTTAATCCAATCTCTGGGTACATTCAGGGCATGTGTTTATTTGTTATCTTAACGCCGCACACACCAACATTCCAGCTTAACGACGGCAGTATATAAATAATCGAGGATGGACTTGACAATCCAGTGACTGATATTTTGACAGCGTCCCACGCAGGGGTACCATGCGAAGTAATCCATCGAGCCAGACCACAGATCTATACGTCTGGCGTAGGTTGCTGGGGATCTATTCTAACCCCGATCCCCACGGGAGAAGGAATACTGTTGTTAGTGACAGACAACGTTGTATGGCTACACACACGCCTCATTCTAAAAATGTTTCATTACTATTGTTGACACAAGTAATAATACCTTCTAAACAAGAGGCGATGTTGGGTCTTACCAGTTAATGCGTTTGCTGATGTGAAGTAAGTGATTTCAGTTCAACCGTCTTTTGGCAGTAAATTCAGTTATATAACGGTATGGCAGCTAAATGTGGAGGAAAGGAGTGGAAACATGAAGAAAAACTCCTCATCAGTGTTATTGCTGTTGATTGCCACATCCACTGTATACATATTTGAGAATCAAAGATATCAACACGATTTGAAAAAAGTGGAAAAACTCCGAGGCTTGCCGAGGAATTTTTCCACGTTTATCAACGAGTGTTGATATATTTGATATCAAAAGACACGAGGGTGAGATTTTATTTATCATCAAACATCATTCTTCCAACCTTTTCAGTTTGTAGACGGTAATAAGCAGTGTCTCAGTGTAAAAAATACTGCTAACAGCTTCAGTAGCAGAGTAATTAGTGATGTTGTTTGATTGTGACCTCATAGTAACAATGACGTCACAATGATCTGCAAAGCATTGTGACGCAATTTCATTGCAGCGATATCTACAATGTAGATATCGCTTGATCTCACCCAAGCGATATCTCATGTGTAAGCCAGTTTTGGATGATTAACCTAGTTAACTCGAACTTCTTTTAGCTCGATACATA